GAGAGACAGCTGATGAGTTATAGCCACTCGTCACGATGGGCCCTTTCTAGGCATGCGTAGGACTAAACAGAACCGAGCCTTCGTCACTGACAGCCTGCAGCACTCATGTCAGTCCATGGGAATATTTGCTCAGAAGCCTGACCAGAACACAGCTAAGGCAGCTAAGGAGCCACGTTCCTCTGTCTGGTCGTGACGTACCGACCGTCAGCCATCAAGGCAAGACGAGAGGTCGGTCACACGGCCGTACTCTGCTACACCCAGCTGTCAGTAGACTGTAGTGCAGTATGACTATAGTATAGGTTAGCTTCAAATTTGGGTCATTTTGCCGATTGGAGTCTATATGGCTTAAGAAATGTCAGGGCCGCCCAAGAGGTGGAGTGTTGATGCTCGAGGTCTGCTGCGCACCCTGCCATGTGCTGCGAAACCTTGGCAAGAATGGACCCGTAAGGCCTCAGCCGGCGTGTAGTGCGTCTTCACGGGTCTAGTTCTGCTGGATGCTGTTTGGCCGATGAACCGAAGGTGTGGAGATGCGCATAGGCCATCACATGAACTGGCGCAAGGTGCAATCCCATGCACAACACGCGCAACCAACCACGATTACGACTACCAGCACCCGCACAGCGCTGGTGTCGAGTACGAGTACTAGCGGCTACTAGCACTAGATCACAGCTGCCGTACCTTCTCCCAAAGCCAGCAAGCATCCTCCCACCTGACCGTGTCCATGCGAAGATCATCTGGACAGGCCTTGGTGGGTAATCTTGATTGTCTAGCAGCAGCAGCAGCAGCAGTAGCAGCAGCAGCAGGACCAGGACCAGGACCAGGACCAGGACCAGGAGCAGGAGCAGGAGCAGGAGCAGGAGCAGGAGCAGGAGCAGGAGCAGGAGCAGGAGCAGGAGCAGGAGCAGGAGCAGCAGGAGGACTCTGGTGAAATGCTTAAGGTCGTTGGCATTGGTAAGCTTTGTAAGCCCTGCTGCCGCGGATGTGTCTAATGGCCAACAGCTGCTCAACACATCGGGAGTGTTGCTAGTGCACGGTCCCTTGAGGGGAGTCGGCTTGACGACTGTGCCTACGACGAATCTCACTCAAACTCAAACTCGTGCACTCGCATCCAGAAAGCAAAAGGCCCGCAGTAAGCTTGCAGCACGGAAAAGCTCCGGATGTGCCCGCACGCAGGCACGAACGACCTTGCGACGGCAGAACATTTTGCAAGTGCCTTCGCCAGCCGTGGTCGCAACACTCTTAAGGTGAAATTGGAACAAGTTGTTCCTCAGTCACATGTCTAGCCCATAACGAACTGAGTATACTTACTGCAGCGGCTTCCGCGACAGCGATGGCAACACCTGACGAACTATCGTTGTTCATAGCTGTCACGGCGATCATCCTCAGAACGGACCTACTTCTTGGTTGAGGCTGTGAGCTGCGAGCTCCCCTCGACTGCTTTTTTGTTCTTACAGAAGTCACCATAAGGCGGATTTTCAGTCTGACATATATATATATATACATTGCATACACACATGTATGTATATATATATATATATATACAACCAATACACAAAAAATGATAATCATGTAGTAGGTCCCGGGCCTTCGGCTTCGCGCCTGCGCGCTTGTGCGGCTCGGAGTCTGCCTGGTTGGTACACTTCTGGATTTGTTCGGGTTCAGGGCTCATAGAGGCGTTTAGTGGTGATCTCCCCCACTTCTCCTCCTAGTTGATCTAAGCTATCGGATCCTTCCTCATCAGCCGCACATCATATTGTTTAGATCGACGCCCATGTTCTGGACTGGATGAGTTGGAGGTCGGGATCCAAAACTTATCCTCAGCATGCCCCAGCAACTCATCAGGTCGCACGTTCAACTATGGCCCGGAGGCTGTGAGCCCGCAGGGGACACAAATCGAGGAGCCTCTCGTAAGCTGAGTTGATGTCGCCGTCGTTTGTTGGGACCACCGGCAGCCATGGAGAAGCAAGAGTGGCAGCAAGTCTCTGGCAACGGCGTTGAAGGCTCGCTTGTTGTCGAAGTCGTCGAATGTCGACAGGGGGGGGACATCCTTTTTTGTGGTCTTCGTCGGGGCATGACATGTGAGAGCAGGAGAAGGAATAAAGAGCAGGAGCAGGAAGCCTACCACCCATCACCCATCACCTAGTACCCACCACCGCCACAACCATCACAGCCTTTTGCAAACAGAAGAACAGGCACTTGATTGCACACATAGTATGCTAGCATAATCCTCCATGTGAACATGGAGAGTGGCAGTGAAGTTGCTGTGCTGCAGCAGTACAGGGCCCGCGCTCGGTCGTGCTCGAAGATCTTTTCAAGCAATGCTACTCGCTGGCGGGCCACCTTCGGAGGATTTAGGACGTTTAGGGCAGCTTTTGCAGGCTGCTGTGCTGTGCCATTTGCTTAGCAACATGCAGCAACCGTACCTTAGGCTCTCAAGGCAACACGGCGTAGGTCTCTGGCGTGACCTGCTGCCTCCCCGTGGATACTTTTTCAAAACCCTGAACAATCAAGCACAGCGTCCGCGGGCCTCGAGCTTCACTGATAGGGACAGATCGGCATAGCCAGGCCTTGGCTGCCCAAGCAAGCTCCCTCGGGAGTGCCGTCTTGGGCAAAGTAGCATTCCTCACATCGTCATCTCTGGTTTCATGGGCCTTGAGGAACTCTGAAGCAATATATAGATGAACCACAAATCATGACAGATCCAAGCTCTAAATGCACAGGGAATGCAGGCCCCCCTGAGACGGCGCGCATCTCTTTCAGCTCGCTGATGGAAAACTCTGACAGGGCTTCCAGCACCACCTGGCATGGACTGCTGTAGCAGCATGAGTTGAATTGCGGGTTAAGAATGCTTCCGGTCTTCTTAGAACATTCAGAGCCTGGAGTTTCTTGGTTGATGTGTGCGAAGTGGTGGGGTTTTGCAGTGCTTGGCTTTGCAGGGCTGCAGCCCGCATCCGATGTGAACACCAGGCCCCTGACACGAAGAACACACGTCCCTAAGCCCTAAACCCTAAATGCAACTTCACCCGCAGGGATGAGAAGTTAGGGGCCTTGAGCCCAGTCACTTATACAGGGCAACCGCAACAAGCCTCTCGAATCGGAAGCCTCGATCATACCTCTAGGAAAAGAGGCCACCAAAAAAAAAAAACTCAACACTGGCCGCAAGCTACGGGCGCAACTGGGCAGCCGAAAGCACCTCGTTCGAGGGCCTGGCTGGTGTCCAAAACAAGGCTTTCAGGGTTGAGGACGGTTTGCACACCGACCTATACTCGTCTTCCTTAGCCAGGCCAGGGAACACGACAGAACACCTGACCGGCCTGTCATCCCAGTGGCCCCAATTTGCAACCGAATATCGTGACTCTGCATGGGCGATGACCGGACATCGTGCCGATACTGCAGCTATAAGGCTGCTGCGCGATTGCATTGGGGTGGTGAGTAGCACGGAAGAACCACTCAGCCGAATCTACCCATGTGTGCTGAAGACCTTTCACGACTAACAGCCGGTTAGCCTCACTAATGCTTCGGGGGCTGCTCCACAAGATCCTGGCACCTCTTATCACCCATTCATGCCACCAATCTCAAGTACTTTACAAGGATTGAGAGCTTGAGTGGACGGACCACCAGCAGCACCTGTGCAGAGAATTCAATGATATTCAATGGACTAATCAGACATCTGTAGCAGTTTGTTGCGGCTGCTAGTATTGCAGTATGTTGCAGCCCTATACCCTGAGCCCATGAGCTTCGGCCTGTTGCTCATGCGCAGCCACATCGCGCAAGTCAAAGGAAGCCGCGACACCCAACTGCATCACAAGAGCAGGAGTCAGCAGGAGGATACAGCATCTCTGCAGATATTGGGATAGTGTGCAGTGTGCAGGATTCTGAAGGTCTTGAGCTGATGCTGTTTGTATAGCTACCGATCTGTGTCTTCTTCTTCTTCTTCTTCGTTTTCTTCTTCGTTTTCTTCTGCCGGGCGTGAGAGGTAGGGCAGGTGTCACTACTCCCTCGGTCTCTCGCTCTCTGTTTATCTTCATACTCTTATTCTCTGCACGCTTCAGGATTGGCAAAATGCGTTCGGAATTGGCTGCCGAGAGGCTATTTAGATTTCAGATTAATTTTCCCTAGCTTGAAACCTTGTTTTAGACGCGATCGCCATTTCCCCTCTTACTTTTTTTGACAACTTTGAGGCTGGTGAAAGATAACTCTTCAGATCATTTCAGGGTTTACGATGACAGCGTATGACCTCTCAAACTCCATGTCCCAATCTAGCAGGGGCAAGTCAGCGCAATGCAGGGGACATGGCCTTCATGTGATGAAGAAGCGCCTCCATGCGAAACTCGCGGGCAAGACTCTCGACCTTGCACATGAGTCTCCCCCCAGAGAAGCATAGGTGAAAGGACCCACTCTTGTTCTACACATCTTCCTTCAGAAGTCGAAAAAAGAAGCGTTTTTGGATTCCAACAAGGTCCTATGCCTGATGGGCAGGCAGACTCATCACGAAAGTTGAGTTTTCAGGTTGCGCTAGAGGCAAGTGGAGATGAACGTCTGTTCCGATTCTTCAGGATAGACTCAATCACCCACAGTTCTCATCAACATAGGGAAAGCCAAAAACCTTCGGAGGCGAAGCAGTTTTGCAAAAAGAGAACTAACTGCAGAAGCAGGTCGAGCACGGTGTGCGGACGTGAGGAGCTCGAACAGGGCAGGGTAAGTAGCCCCGCCAGAGATCCGGGAATTTCTTCGGCCCAACAGCAGCAAGCATAGAACTCAATTCTCTGCGCGTTCCTGTTCAGGGATATGTCATCACGATCGTCACTCACTATCTGGGCCTGCTGGCAGCAAAAAGGGGCTTGGCGTCCGCATTTGCGGACAGCCCTTATGAACAGCTCCGCTCCTGGGCCATGCCTCTAAGCCCTCTCGTAGGCCGCTGCCCTAAACCCGTTTCCCTAAACATTAACCCTAAAGGTATGGTAGCTCAACCAGGATGGCCCTGGCTATTCTCAACCTTCTCAGGCCAGGCGGAGGCCGGTCGGAAACACGGAGTCCTCAGCAGAATGGGCTTTGCGGGGTGTTCTCGGGCGTGACGCGAACGTTTTGCCATGTTTCTGGACTGTGTGACATCCAGGCACTTGATTTTTGATGCCTTGGTGAATACCTCGAGCTGGTGGCGCTGTCCAAATTCCGGAGCATCAAGCAGACACAGACTGGCCCACAGGCATGAAGAATCAACTTCAACCACACAAAAAACAGTTCTCTGGTTGGCAAAGCTCTCAGGGGAATAGTAGCGACAGTGCCATGTAGTTGGAGCGCGGCGCGTCCTAGGATGGCCCTGATAAGCCACTGAATGCATATGAATCCTCTTCAACCCAATAAGGGAAGCGACCTGCGGCAGTGACAGGTTGACCGCCTGAAGCAAAAATGTCATCAAGGTTCGGAGAGCACGCCGCACATGCCGCACACGGGAATCTCTTTCGGCCCGCCGTCGCAACCGACCCCTTCCTGTGCAGCAAGAGCAAAATGGCCCAAAATAGGGGTACCCCTTCTTATACCCCAAATAGAATAGAATCCCCACTTTCGGAAACCCCCATATCAAGGATATGTACTCCAGACAGCTGCTCTTGACTGCTCAGTGCATTGGCTGGTGGCTTTGGTAGCTTTGGGCCATGAGACGATAAACCCCAACTTGGCATAGCATTGTGCGCAGCATGCCAACTTCGCACATCAATGGCGATGTACATACTGCATGCAAACGCCCCCCACAGGAAGTCACATCAAAGGGAATGCATAGACTAACCGCAGACACCCCAAACCTCAACGCCACGAACCCCCCAAACCGCCCAGACTCCTTGGGGCTGTGGTCCGTGCCGCAATAGCCTGCGTCACCTTTTGGAGAGGTTGACGGACATTGGGGTGGTATCGCTTGACGAAGCCCAGCCCTGCAAAGTGCTGTCGTAATCTTCAACTGCTCGTGTGTCACGACATTGTCAGAGGGGTCTTTGTTTTGTTGCACCTCTGTGCGGGGCTTGTGGTTGTGTCTGGGGGTGGGACGACGGCCCTGGTGCTGGCTAGAGGCGGTCGATCGCTATATTGAGGTAGGGCACAAAGCTTGACATTCATGCAAGGAAGCAGGGCGGTGACGAGTCCAGCAAGAATACATCACGAACTCCGAGTTGCTATAAGCCTCACAAATCCTAAGCGTTGAACCGCCCGAGGATGGCTTATGTCCAGACCTCCCACCATAGCTCCCAGCATGCCCTTCACTTGTAGGGCTTTCTCCGTCATTATCAGGGGTGCTTTCGGGGGTCCAGGTGGGCTGAGAAAGCTGCACTCTGGGGCCTTGGTCACTGTTCTCGCGGAGCAGGCGGATGAAGCCCTTCTCACCCCACGTCTCGCCCCAGGAGTTGCGAATAAGCCAATAATCCTGATATCCAGGGAGACCGCAAGTTCTCGCAATGTTCCAGCGTGCGAACCCCTACAGTAATGTGGCTCATTCAGAAAGGAACGACATGGAACGACGCATCAATGTTTCAAATGTTGCCGCCATGGATGAACAGAACTGGAAACACGAGGCCTTGCCGTCAGACGAGCCGTAGCCAACCGCGACCACTGCGTGGTTCACGACGGCATCCTTCGCGCAGCCGTCCTGAATAGCTCAGCACCGTCAAGTCCCTCACTGGTAGTGCAAAATCATGCAAAATCCATGAGTGCGAAACCCTGCAGCTCAGGTTCGAAGATGCCACCGCCATAGGAATTCCAACCAGAAGCGTCGATGGACACGACGACGGGTCTTGGTTCTTGAGGACGGCTCGGTTTCAGGTCCCTCTGCAAAAAATAGGTTTCTAGAAGCTTTGGTCACTTCGTGCTTTGCGTGGTCTTGGGTGATGCGAGTCCTTTGGTGCCCGGTAGAAGCGGAAGAGGATGAACATCGGGATGGAAGCAAGGATGCACTTTTTTATCATCCTGGTTCGGCCTCGTTTTCGGTCAAGTTGCCCACCTCTTCTTTCAGTTCTCCGAGTACGCCAAGCTGCCCTTTCATGACCGCCTCCATCAGGGGCTGGAGCTTGTTGACGGGCAAGGGCTGCAAGCCTGCACATGAGGACATGGTGCAAGATGCAGTTGGCGAGGTGCCACTCTTGTAATTTTTAAAGGGGAGCCACCAGCCAACAAGATCAGTCTAAGCTGGGTGAGGAACTTTCGTCATTCTCTAACATGCCAGAATGCCTGCGATGCGCAAGTACGGCGTGATTGGCTGACAGTGTTGGTCGACGTTCTTGTCCTCAGCTGTCAATAATTAGGCTACCCCAGAAGAAGGGAACACCGTCCTGAAATTAGAATCCACCAGGAAAAAGAGCGATGGAGATATCCCGACAACACAAGAAGAGTCATGCTCTGAGTTCTTGCTTTGTGATAAACCGAACTCTGAATTGCGCATGGCTTACACGCTTGTGTCTCATGGCACGCGCGCTGAAAGCTTAATGCGAATTACTCGCAAAGTGCTTAAGTTTAACAGTCTTTACGTCGTGCGAGATATGATGCGAAACTACAAACTGGCAACCAAGGGGATCCCACGTGCGAATTGGAATACAGCTGCTGTGTACTATGTCGAAGAGACAATCAATTGAAGAAACTGTCAAATTGTTACTGAATAATAGGTTTTTAATTCCATACACATGTATCTGTATATGTATACATGCTAACATATAGAGATATATATATACACGCGTAAGAACAATCCATGTTGGAAATAAATTAATTACACATAGATATATGTATATATGCGAATACATGTTTAAAACCAACGCTGGTCAAACCAAGTGCATACAGGCAGAGGCAGTTAAACCTTAACAAGCTTCCGCAATGTGCAGCACCTGCGCTAAATTTCCAGGCAAATATTCCTGGCAAAGTGGATTGCAACAGAATTCATTCCTGCAGTGCTCTGGCTCACAGGCAGGGATTTTGGGTTTAATGCCCGTCGCTTGTTGTGACCTACGTCGGCCCCAACTTCGGGCGAGTCTCGCCGCCATAGGTGCTGTCCAGGGCGATGCCGTTCTTCGCGATGTAGTCCTTCGTTCATCGCTAGAGCAGCAACCAAGCAAGAATCAGGTTTCAGATCTCAAGCTCCTCAAAACCTCGGAGGGATTGTGGGCAGTATATGGGTGCTGACTGCATGCAACCGTATCACCGTGTAGCAATTACAGCCCCTCCAACCGCGGTTGCCAAAAACCTCCGAAATGCTCGGCCGAGAGCACATAGGCAAGCTCGGAGGTGGAACCCTGGCATCCGCCATCGCCTCCTCGGTTGGGACTGCCAAAACAAGGCTTCAGGGGCTCCCACACAGTGGCAGTGCCTTGACTGTTGCAGTGCAGGCGTTTCTTCGTGAGTGTACTTTACTTGGCCCAGGTTTCTTCGCTCGCCTCTTACGATGTATGACTGACAGATGGCCTCCCGCTCGCGCCCCGTAATTAACACTGTGACTTGAGGCCAAGCAAGCTCCCTCAGATCGTGGGACCAACGAGATTTTGGGTTCCTGCCTGCAAGCCAAGCATAGCCAAGCGACCGCAGTGGTGGACATTGGGGGAGCAATCTTTCACCTGCGAGGTCACTCTGGCGTAAAACGCACGCAATCGAACAACTGAACACGGTTAAGGCCTGCAGTCCACAGGCTGCAGGCTCATATGCTTTTGACAGTAAGATTCAACACTAGAGACTTAAATTGAGCTCAAAACCCTTGGCACGTGTTCCAGGTTATGTGATGGTTTCCGCACCACATGCCGATTTGTCATGAACACGCACCTGGTTGGAGGAAAGCACGACTTCCTGCGCATGCATGCTGGCGGATGGAGAGTGAGTTGAGCGCTGCTTTTTGACCCTAAACCGATTGCCGAGCTGGGACTTTGACCATCTTGCAGGGCAGTCCTTCTGCAACTCCAGCTCTGCATGCATCTCCAGCGCACCAATGGCGGCCACAGCCCAGCAGGACCCGCAAGTGCCCTGCTCCTGCAGGACCCACCCGAAAAAACCCCTTATAATCAGGGCACTTCCTCTGCAATAACCTGTGGAAGGGGCTTTCCTGCAGGTCTGGGCGGACCCAGAGATCTGAAAGCGCACAGCCAGAAGTGGAGCTTGGCGTTAGGGTGCATTGTGCCCTCGTTTGGGAGCTGGGCCAAACGTGTGGTCACGACTTGCACTTCTCAGTCTAGCTTCGGGCTTCGTACCGAGGTTTCTGTGCACTTCACAGCCGGAGCGGTTTAGAGTTCCGGCTGCAGTCCTTCACGTGACCCACGGAACTCAACTTGTCACTCCAATTGACCTCGGCTTTGACGACTGTCGACTGCTGCTTACTAGTTACTAGTAGAGATGCAGGACATGGCGAAGGAAGCTGGTTGTCAAGAGTCGAAGAGACGTTAAGCTGCCGGTCTAGCAGCAACACCACCAACATGCAGAACAGGAGGGGGTTCTGTCAGTTCTGTCGAGCACTATCACTATCCTACACTGTCCTACACAGCAAAAGCAGCCCTGTTTCTGCACATCTCTACACAGTCCAATTTTTCTGCGAGGTCGGGCATGAAGGTTGCAAATGTTCAATCCGACTGCCAATCGTGAACACATCGCATCCCCTTGTGCTGGTTTTCAACTGTTGCCCACGCTGCATCACTACACACCACAAATATCCACAAACCGTCAACCGACGACCCGGCGATAGACTCCATATTGCTGCCAGGCAGCGGTGGTCGCGATTGTCTTGTAAGGCCCGGTCTGCAGGAATGAGCTCGCAGTCTTGACCTCTGTTCAAGAGCACGAGTTCTCAAATTGTATACGACTTGGTCCTCTTTTGCGGGAGAATCGCCACACCGCAGGAAGAGCTGTATAGAGATGCACTTCTAGAGATACTCATGCGAAGGCCGCAAGAAGTAGACTTCAGTAGACAGCAACGTGCACCTCCGAAACAGGGAGCAGGCACTGGGCACCTTCCCAGTCCATCCCGAAACACGAAGTCCACAATGTCCAAAACAACCAGCTTAGTTACTCAAACTCCCCAAACCCTCCAACAGCCCGGACCTCGGCTCGGATGGTCCGCCGGTGTCCCAGGAGTGCCTCCAGGGGTATTTCGTGCATTTGCAGGTCTGCACTTCTCCCGAACATCCTGGGCTTGTCTCATCTCGACCGACTTCGCGATATCAACGTAGCTAGTCCGACCCTCCAGCTGATTCTGCCATGAAACTTGAAACCATTACAATGCTTGCACTGGTGGAGACCTGAAGTGGTGCTATAGCGCAATCAGGAAGTGTAGAAAGTGTTTGGAGCGGCCCGCCGCTCCTGAATGTGTGCTCAAAACAACGCCAACACAAAAGCGTCCAAGCCCCAAACACCTGATCCCTTTGTTTTTAGGCACAACTTCGGGAAGGGATTTCCCTGGGTAGCTCGTATATAAGTTATACCTATATATAAACGGGCGCTATAAGGGTCAGTAGGGTTAGTTAGGGGGCCAGTGGAGACTGCCCACGTGAAATGGGCCTAGATTGTTAAGGCTGCCTTCAGGTGAGGTGTCGTAGGCCCATTTCCCAAGCCAGTAACTCGATCCTCACCTTTTGCGGAACGAAAACTTATGCCCCCAAATCTCAATTGAGGGGAAGCGATTGACTCAGCTGGCATCAATTCTCAGCAACCGCAACCTTCGCAAGCGCTCATCTAGGCGTAGACGAGCTAGATTCGCGCGCGACTCTTTGCTACTTTCGGCAAGCTTCTCTTTTCAGCTGTCAACAAGAACACCAAAAACCTTTCCACAGCTGGCAATCGTCATGATGGTGGAAGCGCCGTATAGGATTACAGTTTTTGCAGGCATTGCAATCAACATCCACAGCTGCGGCTTTCACTCTGAATCAGACCCCCTCGTGCGAAAAGAACGGTCGTCTTGAGTTCCACTTTGCATGCCTTGAACTCCGCGTCAGTGTAGTCAGCAAACTGGCCCACAACCTCTAGCAGCTCGAGATTTGGCAACATGCCTGCTGAACCCTCGAACCCCAAACTTCCCAAACCCCACGCAGTCTCAAGGCCCACGCTGCGCTCCAGCTCGCATCCGGGCGCGCGTTGTGTTGCGCCACGGCAGCTCGGAAGCGCTCTGGGCGTGCGCGTCGAGAGTGGACAGCTTGTGTTCAGTTTAGGGCTTTTAGGGTTTAGGGGTTTATAGGTTTGAGGTCTTTTAAGTTTCGGTTTTTGGTTTTACGGTTGTTTTTTGGCACCCGCCTAGCTGACTGAACGTCGCACTGCAGGGAAAGTCACACGTTACTGGGCTGTCGGGAAAACAGACTAACTAGTTCAGCTTGGAACCTGCCCCACCCACTCACAGCTTTAGGCTCTAGGGTTTTTGCCACCTGTCTAGCAGCGTCGCAACCACACTGCAGGGATGAAACATGTCCAAAGTGAGTCTCATCATCAAGGTCTGGAAAAAGGAAAATATAGAGATACGATACACGATGCCTGTGTCTATCATGAGGTCACCGTGCCGCAATGGCGACATCCCCAACTCCCCAGCCAGCACCAGGATACCCCAGCAATGCTATCATGCCATATCATGCCTTTAGGGTTTAGGCCCGCAGGTTTTCGTCTCCGGTCTCAGGGTTTCCGAGATGGGGTCACCATGTTGATGAAGGTCTTGGAGGACTTGCCCAGGGCCGACACTGCAATGGTGAGTTCGCATGTTCAGACTACGTGCATTAACGTTCTGCAAGAACGAGCGATCTTGTCTTCCGGCGGCTGAGGGGCTGAAATGCGCCAACCGCTCCTCATAAGAGACGCGGTCGTCCCTGCTGCGGTTAAACCTTCATTCATCATGCATGTCTCTGTGTCCCTGCTCTCTAGAACTGAGACTAGAGCATGCAAACGGTTGAGGCAGTCCGCATTTTTTGAAACACCTTGTGCAGATGGTGCGGAAACTATAGTAACTACAACAGATGACCATGATGACCACAAAGAAGGGTCGAACTGTTTCTGGGGCTCCCAGTGCCGGAGTCTGCCAAGAGACTCTTGACGAAATTGCTTGTAGGCGGCCTCATGATCCTCGCAGAACTGACACACATGTACAAGCTAATAAGCTAATGGAAGACGGGTATGTGCAAAATTCTAGATAGAACACAGATGTTCGGTCATTGCACGGGCGAAGTGCAAGTGTAATAAGTTTGCAGGATACAAGGACTTGGAGGCACCGCACGGTTGCATGTCCAACTGCAATTGCACGCTGCAGGTACAGTAGTTTGCAGTGAGGTTCCGCTGGCTCTGGCCCCCGGATTCTGACAGCAGCAGCCTTTTCTTTCAAGTCAACGAAGCATCATGCCCACAGGAGGTGCTATAGCCACTGCTAGCCCAACAAGACAGGCCCCCAAGATCAGTGAGCTACGTACAATGTGTGGGGGTTGCACCTCCTCGGAGGTGAACCTCTCTCTTTCTCCACGGAGGGAGGCCGCACAGGCCAGGAAGGCCAATATCCTGGTACCAGCTTCTACCCCAAGACATACAGGGAGTGCTGTTATGGGCTGGGATAAGTTTTACGGCTGAGGGAAGGCAGCGAACCCATGACATGTAATCCTGGCCACAAACCACGTCTAGCTTTGCATGATCGACTATAGACTTCGCCCTCCAAACAATACTTCTTGCCGACATAACGTCTATGCCCTTCTCATGCACTAAAGCTGTGGCTGTCGGCAGCATTCAGAGACAATGTGCCAAACCATTCAGTAGACTGGGAAGCGGAGGGGAAGGGATGAACGCGCGCCTGAAGGACTGGAACATATGGAGGGCTGCTCTTCGCAGACAAAGGCAAACACGATTCTTGGGCCAGTGCTGCAACGTAGGCATGAATGCGTGTACATATACATATGAATATATATATATATATATATATATATAGGTACATAGTTTTTGTATACTATGTGCATCTGCATGATGAGGTGCAGACATCTATCTGTCGGTCCATCTACCGTTGCACTCATCAGTGCATTTGACCTTGTGGCATGCTATACACGGTTGAACTGTACATGTAAGGGGAAAACACGTCAGGATGGCCGAAGAGCAGGATGGCCGGAGAACTTCGACGAAGATTCGGGATACCAACGGGCCGAGACGAAGTTCGACGAAGGCCGGGGGGCCGGGCGAAGGTTCGACGAAGGCCGGGAGGTTCGACTGACAAAAGGCCAAGACAAAGCCCGAAAAAAAACACAAGGGTTCGACGAAAGCTAAATGAAGGCCGGAGGTTCGACGAAGGCCACAAGGGCCGGGAGGGGGGTTCGACGAAGGCCAAGGGTTTCGACGAAGGCTAGGGGGGTTCGACGGCCTTTGCCGAAGGCTGTGTGCCATCCGCCCCCATACGCCGTCCTGATCGGTTTGCCCCTGAACATGATGTTACATGTACTATGCTATTCTGCCCACAATTCCAGTTTCGGTAATGTGCGAGGCCCGGGTTTCTCAACCGAAACCCTAAATTTTTCCTAAATTTTCGTTAACCAAATGAGTCCCGATGGGGCCACTAGCACGCCTGAAGGCTTGAAACCTCATGGGCCTCAGCCTGCGGCCCAGAGCACTCGCACGCTAAGGCCGTTGTGAAATAATGGCAAAGTGATAGCAACACTAGTTATCATGGTTGTAATCGCAGTGGTAGTAATTCCTGTTTGTACTGGCAAGAATAGTGATGTGATTAAAGATTCCTAGCAATCGTTGCCCTATGCACTGAGTTTCTGAGGGGGGAGGTTCAGCCCAAGTGGTGCCAGGCCCGGTGCTTCCTGCATCAGCTCTGGAGACGGCAGGCCCTTGCCAGCGTCAGGATTTAGGGTTTAGGGTTTGGGGCAGTTTGGGGTTTAGGGTTTTGGGTTTCGGGATTAGGGTGGATGAGGATTCTTAGGGGCTTCAATTGGTAGCATCAACAGGCTGCACGGAGGAAGTTTCATGGCAACTCTTCTTTGTCTGGTCACTCCTTCCATCGCTTTCCTTCACTTCCACAGTCGCGCTGGAGTGGCGCCCTACACCCTAAACCCCTAAACTAGGCCCCGCAAGGCCCTCCCTGAACCCCCCTTTTGGGTGTTCGTGGGGAGAAAGGTTAAAAGGGGAGGCTTACCAATTGCAGCCGTTTGAGTCTGTGTAAGCCCAGGAAGAGCTCCACACCAGGAGCCGTGAACTCAGTACGTCTGGATGGTGGTATGAGCTTGCGAGGTTGGTTCTTAGGGCTGAAATTCTGATGGCTTGCTGGGTGCACCTGGGTGGAATTTAGTTGCACGTGTGTTGCGGGTATTGACTGGGATGCTGTTGCATGCTGTCATTTGCATGTATCTATTGGTGCTCCGCGGACTCGGCTTTCGGAGAGTGTTGCGGCCTTTTGTCGTCTGGGCTTGCGCAAACGCCAAGAAAACCCGGTGAACCAGGAGCTTGGGATATGCCTGGAAGCACACTTTAGTACCCTGAAACTTCAACCCTGAACCCTCTTGAACCCTTTTGAACCCTTTTGAACCCTCAGCCCTTCTCCAAGACAGCACCCCGATCTGCCCTGCCTGGGGCGGGTAGATGGCTCGGAGCCAGGCCTTCACTCCCTGCACGCTGCGCGGTGCTGAGGGGCCTGGGAGCATGGCTTGACGGTCGGGCTGGCTTTATGGCTTTTCTTAGGGTTTTTAGATGTTTTTAGGTTCTTGCAGAGTTGATGGGATTTATGGGGCTTGGTAGGCTCAGGGTTTAGACTTCGATTCCGCTCTCGCAGGGCAGGCAACGCTTCGGCAGGCAATCGTGTTTTTCTGGCAGCACCCAGTCTCCTACACTTAGGCCTCCACAAAATGTGGAAGGAGAACCACATGAGGCCAACGCCCGGGCGAATGACCAGCGTCCGCCCCCAGTGCTCATCCAAATCTCGGGGCGTTTGCTGATGGTCTGGGTTGCAGGAGCTTACGTGATAGGTGCGGTACCAAGATGTGCTGCCAGAATGGAAGGAGAGAAATGCTAATTACATTGATACATCAAAAAACAATGTTGGAAGTTGCCGGTTGCCGGTCCCTTGTCTCAAGGAAACCTGATTGAGACATAACGTGATATCAGCCTTCTGAGGGAAGCTCTGCAAAATATGTATGCCGCTTACGCGGCCTCCACACAGGAGCTATGAATATGCTGCGCTTCAAGCCTGCAACACTCTCTGAAAGCTGAGTCCGCGGAGCACCAACAGATACATGCAAATGACAGCGTGCAACAGCATCCCAGCCAGTACCCGCAACACACGTGCAACCAAATTCCACCCAGGTGCACCCAGCAAGCCATCAGAATTTCAGCCCTAAGAACCAACCTCGCAAGCTCATACCACCATCCAGACGTACTGAGTTCACGGCTCCTGGTGTGAAGCTCTTCCTGGGCTTACACAGACTCAAACGGCTGCAATTGGTAAGCCTCCCCTTTTAACCTTTCTCCCCCCGAACACCCAGGTTGCAACCAGAATGCCATGTCATATATAGCCCACCCGACACCCACTTTCCAACAGAAGGGTGTAAATGATTCGCTTTTTGTAAACCACCTGTAAGAACATGCCTGGTGTGCTATAAAGTCTTCACTCTTGGTCACAAAGTGTGCCATCCTAGTTCAGCAACATCCGCTACCAGATTTTCTCAAGGTAACGAGTATCTTGAAAGTCTGCGTAAAAATTTATGCCCATTGTTGCTATTTCTATTTGTCGCTGCTTGCTCGTCTCGTGGTTTTCCTCGCTTCGATTGCTTTCAACACATATTGGCTGAAGATGGCTGAATAGTATTGTCGTTAAGTGGGCATTTCCCCAAATAGGGGTACCCCTTTTGTACCCCCAAATAGAATAGAATCCCCTTAAAGGGACCCAACCAAAAAGGGTACCCCTATTTTCGGAAACCCCCAAGTTGATGCCACCCCCATCAGATATCCCAACGCAAATGGCTGGAGCTGACAGGCCTGGACCCTAAACCCTAAACCTGCTCGGCTGCCGGCTCGGAGCTTGCCAGAGTGTTGACCTTGGGGCGGAAAAGGGGGGCAAAGGTTTTAAATGGCAACTTAGGATTCTGAACCCCCCCCCCCCCCCCGGATGGAGGGAGGGGGGGAGAGGAATCCGAAGCTTTCGTTGCAGGCTGCTCCCTGAACCCTGAACCCTAAACCCGAAACTCTAAGCCCTACACCCTAAACCCAGCCCTGGGCCCCCAAGCTCAAGATCTCGTAGTGGGCCCAGAGCTTGACGCCGGCGATCAGGACCATCCTTGCGGAATCTTCGCCAGGATGCTCGGAGGTTCATGGGTACTTATAATCCCAATGAGAACTGTATTTATAAAGCCCCCTAAGTCCCCAAAGTAGGAGAGAAGTACAGTTATGGTTGAGGTTTTAAGTGCCCTTGAACCTCCAAGTGCTGCAGAATGATTCGACCCGATGCCCCCGCTGGGCTCGAGGCGTGTCTGGAATACCGAAGCGCTGGAGAGCGGGATCATTCCTGCCAGCGCCAATTGAGAGAGAGAGAGAGAGAGAGAGAGAGAAAGAGAGAGAGAGAGAGAATATTTTCATATACTTTTAAAGTCAATGACACTCGCGGCCTTTCCCCAAAGATCCTGAATCCTGACATCTGCATTGCATGCGGCCTGCTTCCATGGTCTGGCACGTGCGCCGAAGCAACGGAACGCTTCGTCCTGCAGGATCTATTTTCCAGCAAATCACATTCGCCTTGCGCGCTCGCAGGCTCGGATCTGAGAGGTGAGGACTTGCAATCCATGAAAAGAGGTAGGATGCACGACCCACAGGCATCAAGAATCTGCAGATTCCCTCCCAAGACGTCCTGGCAGCTTTCTTCATGGAAGCTATCCACCTCAGCCCCAATCGAGAATCTCTCTTGGCATTGCTGTGCATCTGCCTTGTAGTGCCGGAAGCCTGAGACTTTAGGGACATGCTCAAACTGTTGGTATAGGCCGTCTGCAATACAGGACCCCTTGGCTGCTTGACTCCGTTCAGGCAGGTGGGAATGCTGATTCTGTGAGAATTGCGTTGGGTCCCGCAACTCATGCGCTTTTTTTTGGTGTTGCCTTTTTTTCATGCTCCAACTACCTGCCGGGCCAAGCTCAAGCTCTTTTTTCCCACTGGAGTCGCCTCGACATCTTTGGCGCCAAAATTGCGCGATCAAGCTCAATGGACTCTGCAGCGCGAAAAGTGTGGCAGGCGCCTTCCATGGCTGCATGATTGTCACCCCATGCCTAAGGCGAAAGCAACTTCCAGCAAACACTCTGGTGCAGCAAGTGAGGGAAGTGCACTTCCATGGCCCATGGCCTCTGCGCCAAGGCAACACTCTAGGAGCTGACGTGGGCTACAGCAGCAGATAGCAACGGTTACACAAGACTTCGGGACACTAGGGCACCCAAGAAAATCGCTAATTTGATGAGAACTACGCATGAGGCATGATCCATGAGCAGCCCGCACACTTCCGAACTGTCAGTCATTACCAATCCTCTTGTGCAGCTGCTTTGCAGCCACCAAGGTCTCAACACTCAAATGAACTAGCTACTGTGAACCTTCAATGTAGTTCCTTTCCTGCTGCAAACTCTTCTATGAATGCTGCTTGTCACTCCGTAGTCTGGAGCCCCCAGGAACATCGAAAGCTCAAGCTACGAACCCTGCAAGGCCAATACCTGCAGTGCTGTTTATTAGCATAAGCGAGGATGGGCCGAATCATTCTTAGAGCTGCTTGTCACTGCAGGCCTTTGGACCCTCAAGGAAGTGAATTGGGATAGCGGACAGGGTCCCATCATTTCGAACCATCCGCACACTTGCACATGGAGTTTTGAAATCCCAAGGTACACAGAAGCATGCCGACCAACAGGCACTGACATCTGACAGACGTATTGAACCCCACTAGAACAAAGACACACACACACACACACACCCACAATATTGTCACCTCATGACCTGCCACAAGTGAGCAACCTTCAGCCAAAGAATCCCATCCCCAGCTAGTGGAAGCAATATCTGCCGGCCACTTGCGAAGTTCTCGCGGAGAAAGGCGGCGTCCTGGGCTTCGTTTTGCCCGCATCCAACATGGCTCACACAGAGCTGCTTGCATGGAGGATAGGGTTGCACGCTGTCCTTCCGATTCAGGGACTTTGGGGCCTGGCCCTAAACCCTAAACCCTAGACCCGAAACCCCACTAGGCCCTATAAAGCTTGTCACTGCGCGTCGTGGTCTCCCGATGCCAGACGGGGATCTGGAGAGGATGCAGCACAAAGCCTCGTCTGCAGCCCATGGAGAACCGTGGCCCACTGAAGGCCTTAGCACCAGGTTTGGGGTTTAAGGTTTAGGGTTTCGGGTTTAGTTTAGGGTTTATAGGGGAAGCTTCCCGCATGCAGCGAACTTCCGGGAACCGACATCTTATTCTCCCCTTCTGCACCTCGCAGTGCTGCTTATCACTCCTGATCTTGCTTGGGCGTCTGCTTGTGCAAAGCTTTTATTTCACAAGGCTTCAATGTTAACTGTCGCCGTTTGCCATGGTGCTGATGGCGCCGAGTATGTGCCAGGACCAGGTGAGTAGCTCTCCTCGTTCGGAATGGGAGAGGTTGCCCAGCCAGAGAAGCTCTCATATCAACACAACAGTCAGACACTTGCTACCCGCTCCGGACTTGAATACACTTACAGACACGTACTCTCACGGGCACATGGCTTTGGCTCTTTCTGCTTGACCGTGTTGGCTCGAACCTTTACGACACACACACACAAAACAAAAAACACCGAACATCCTGAGCCCTGTGAATTTCACTAGCACTGCAAAAAGCGCCTGCCTGCTTCGGTAGGCGAGGGCGGTCGCTGAAGCGAAAGGCGGGCCTATAGCCAACAGGAGAGTGAAGAAAAGCAAGAAGCCCGAGGTCTTGCAAACAAAAACGTTCTGAATATGTGTGCCCGTACACAACCCTCTTGTCGATGTCAAGCGCACATCCTAGAGACTCAGACCTCCTCCAAGGAACTGAGTCTGTGTTGGCAATGCGCCTCGAATTGTCGTGTTTGTTTCGCCAGGGCGCTTGTGCCGCCGCTGCGTCATCGAGTCTTTTGGATCCTTGGCTCGAGTGAGTTCTATGTACATGAACGCGGTGAGTTGGCACGGCAGGGGCTCGGCAACGTGAGAGGGGGTGGGGAGGGGGGTGGGCACCTTGTGCTTGGATAGACACATCCCTTACCTAGAGGTGCGCTCTGCTACTCTGCGCTTGAGGCATCAGGCAATCGCCGACAGTAGCATTAGTGCACCAAGAGGCTTGGGCAAAGCTACCTGGCTCAACTGACCTGGGCAGCTGTTCTGAACACTCCCTCTGCAACAAATTCAAAGGCTGCAGGCGATGGCCAGTGGTGCGTGCAGAGCGCGTGGAGCTGACACTGATCCCTGCTGCCAACACTAAGGTCCGAGGTGCTCTTAAGGCGCCTCTGCCGTGTGCCACGGTGCGTCCCCCCAAAAGTTGAAAATCTACAGCCACAAGAAACACAAACCATAACATAACACAGTGATCCCCCACCATGGCCCTAGGCACAAAGATGCTGGCCCGGCGCTGCAGCGGGGTCTTCAGCCATGTACTCTCCGGCCGACTCCGGAAGGTCGCGGCTCCGGTGTGCCTGTTGGTATGGTGGTTAGCTGTTGGAGAAACTGGGGCCTGAAAAGAATATGGGGCCTAAAGCGCCGTGGACCCAGCTCTGAAGACTGTAAACTGTGTGGGTACACAGGGATTGCTCCCGAAGGAGTTCAGATGGCGGGTGGTGCTAGACCTCTGCGCGCTGCAATTCTCAAACCTGGAGAGATGTCACAGATTCATTGTCCTCCTCGCTGCTTCAAGTAAGCTAGCTCCTGTATTTGTTTTTAACTTATCCCAGAAAACCACCCTCCACACTGTTCGAGAATAGGTACCAGGTACCTTACAGGGATGTATATGCCCTTCTGGTTTGTAATGTCGTGGTGCACATATGACCGCTACATACAAATTCCCCTAGCATGGGGAGCAAATGAACCCAAAAAGGGCTTGTGGTTCACATACCTTACAGGAACCATAGTCGTATTTATAGGGTATATGACCCCAGTTTTAGGGTTCAATTGGTCACAAAATAAACCCTACAACTGCAAAACCCCAATGTGATGCTTACGCTGATGGCTGCCAGATTGGCGGAAGGCAGCTTGACCCAACAGCCCCGGGCCCATTCGCCCCAGACCAGCCTGGCAGTAGGCATCCGGGCGCAGGCCCCAAAGCCCGCGAGGTGATCATAGGCTCCTGCAATGAATGGGGAAGTATGGCGGCAGTACTAGGCTACTTTCGTTTTGGGGGGTGCACGTCGGGCAGTCAATCTTCACGAATGTAGAAATGTAGATGTGACTGCATCTGAGCATGCTGAAGGCTTGAAGTCGAGGCGGTCACGCAGATCTGGGCAAGATGCAAGGCCAGACCCAATCCAGTCTGCCATGCAGGCGCAGTTGCGCAGGCCCCATCTTAAGCACAAATGCCCGGGCCCCTCTGGCAATTGTATCTTGCTGCTGCACCGAAAACCCAGATGCTGCATCGCCGGTGTGCCAGGCTCTACTGGTAACCTGGTAGCTGGCGTGCATGATTGGCAGCTTCCTTGAACAAAGGAGATGCCGCTGTGACTTCCTGCTCCTCTCCTCCCCCCCACAACCCACCCCCACCCCCAAATCCCTCCAGAGTCCTGGGCCCGGTGCCGCTGTGGCATAGCCATACCTCATGTGTCAGGTTGAGGGTTTAGGGATGACCAGAGGCAAACGCAAGGCAACGCCCAGGTCTTTGGGGCCGAAATAGAACAGCCTTCTGTTCGGATGCTGCAACTCTGAGGTAGGCTCTCTCTCACACGCGAAGGCTTTCTTAAAGAAGTATTTCCGCTTCGTCTGTGACTTCGCAGCGAGCCAGCACCCCAACTTGAGTCCTAAACCCAGACAGGCGGCATGGAGTCCCCGGACAGCTCTGTCCAGGCGCGGCCTCACCAGCTTGAAGCATTTTATGGCAAGCCCAGGGCCAGTTCCCAAGTTTCAACTGCACCCTTCACGACCTTGTCCCGCCTTAAAGCGGATTTTGTGGCAAGCAGGACAAGAGCAAGCAGACTTGGGGGGGTGTCCTCCCTCTCCACCCTGAACCCGAAACCCCACAACAAACTTTCAGCAATAGCGGCTTTGGGTGTTGCTGGAATTCTTTGTTTCCAGCTCATCGTCCAGCGAACCTTGGACACAATGTCGCACTGCATTTTCAACAAGGCCAGGCCTACAGAGATGTGTCTGGCGTTTCAACAGCATCCGCAGAGCAGATGGCGGCTTCTCTCGCCACTATACTATTTGAGCATGGAATGATGTCAGAGGGAAAAATAGCATCGAAGACAAGGACCGTTCGGTACAGCCTTCACATTGGGAGGTAGGGTTCTCAGGAGGAAAGGGCGGTTGGACTCAGAAAGCACGCTTCTGAGTAGGACAAGTGGCCGAACCTGTCATCATCATCGTCGCAAGCCTCCCAATCCTTTCAACCGCGCAGGCACGCACAGGCCCTAAGCCTACATAAAGCTTGCAGCAAGAGACTCTTGTCACTACCACTGCCATGCTGCAAAGACTCATCCAGGAAGTTCACTTCGTGCAGGAGAAGCCTTGAAACACGTCAAACGGGCTCGCTCAAGAGTTGGTTTTTGATCGCTGCTCGCTGTTTGGGGGTTCTGCTGAAACCTGGCCCAAGACTATGATTGATTGCGACCAGCATGAAAAGAGTGGCACATCAAACGTTCCAGGTGTTCTGTTTCACACCAGTCTGAAACTTGGCTCCTGAACAGGATTGTATAGCTGAAAAATCATCAGGCATCGTAGTATCGTATCTGCATGGGGACATCGGCTCTCGAGCTGTCACGCCCACAATTCAAGAAGTCAAAGAAGCCGTCCATGACCGCCGCAGTCCAGGCATTTGAACAGAAGCACCTTCGGCGACCGGACGTGGAGGTGGGGCGGGAGGGACCCCCAAGATGGGTTCGGAATCTTTGGCTGCTAGTACAGGGCATCCACTTTTGGAGTTGGGCTTAGCTTCTCACTGGTGGTTCCTAAATGGTGTTTCCTCACAATTCTGGCTTGGCATGGCTTGTGGTCACTCTCCGGTAGCTTGCAGGAAAGATGCGTCGTCGCAGCAAGCAAGCCCATTCCTTGGATCGCTGAAGGTCCCAAACCCCAATCTGCGAAATGGAAACTCTGTCCTGAACAGCTGGCGGCATTTAAGGTCATGCCTGGGTGTACTTCTGATGGCAGCTCATGATGCCGCCCCAAGCCTCAAGGTCCGTCACTACGCGTCACTGCAACTCCTCAACCACTGAAGCCCCGAGTGCAATGAAGTGGCACGAGGACGGCATGCCGGAACTCTGGAAGCGAGAGCTCCCCAGATTTGTCTCTGTCCAGGACCTGCGGAGGGATCTGCCCACACTTCTATTGAGCAGTGGACTTACATGTTGGCAACTTGGTTCCCTCGAAATCTGAAGGCCGATGGGGCCTTGAATGCAGCCCTGACGCTCCCGAACCTGAGCTCGGAGACATGTGTAGACGCACCAGAGAAGACTTCACAGTTCTCCCACTGGCGAGGACAGAAGGCTGTACCAATGCAAAGCTGGCGTTTAAATGGCCGCGTGGCTGATCAACCGCCCACTTCTTGAACTTCATGAGCATGGCGCTGGACTCCTTGTCGATCTCCTCTTCGTGTTCAAAAGGCGACTTGGAGTTGGGAGTTGAATAAAAGGACTCTGAATGTAAGAAGGCTCCGTGTAAGCAGAGTTCCGTGTAAACACATCCCACCTAACTTATGTAGAATCAAAAGCGTAGGTATCTTCAGTGTGCCAGGCGCTCGGCTTCGGCCCAAAAAGTTTGGGTGCTTCTCTGGATGGTTAAGCGCCGCCATGATGCGCCGCGGCGTGCGGTGAATATGACAATGCCAAAGAAGCATCCAGGAGCAGCTTCAGGTCCACATCCCTGTGCCCTTCGGCACCCTCTGACAGCCCTCAACGGCACATCCCAAAGCCCAACCAGTGCGTGTGCCAAAAATCTGGCCCAGCGTCGCTCAAGGTGATCGAGCCACTGAGATCCTGCTTCGGAGAGAGGGCGATCTCTTCAACCAGTAAGCACATGTCAGCTCAGGAGCGATCGAACAGAAGTGCCCTTTGAGAACGGATACGATACCAACAAAGTTTAGACCGGTCTCAGAATCCTTACAGACTTCATGTTGGCAACAAGAACTCAAGGAAGGACTGCCATCTTGCTTGAAATACAGCTTCCTTGTTAACAAGGGTTGACGGTTTACATCGGGTTTAAGCCCCATGGGTCCTCGTCCAGAGCCAGCCAGGCACCAGCGATGTCCCCTTGGTACTTCAGGTTCTTGATGGCCTCAGTCAAGGGATGCCGAAGAGCAACAGACCCACAGAATTCCCGAGGCGCATGGAAGACAGCTTCGCGCAAATTGACCCCCAGCCTGGTAGAACTCGTCCCAGTTGCACACGTTGGAATTATCCTGCACTGCAAACTCCGCTTGAGCACAAGTTTTGGGCTCACGTCTTCACGAGTTGAGATATATGTCTGCTGTGCCAGCTATGTGTTGCATTGAACTCTCCCTTGCCCTTCAACCTTCCCCTGTTCCACAGCTCGGCTGAAGTACAAGGCAGGTCAGAGTATAGCAAAGGGGAGCAGATTCGCTATCTTGATGCTTGTTAGAAGCTGTTTCTCAGTATGTGCAGGCTTCGCGACTTGAAGTCTGTAACAGCAACTGAAAGGCACATGCCGACCCAGCCTTGTCTAGAACAGTTCCTGGGCTCGGCATGGGGGGGCTCACTTGCAGAAAGCTTTCCATGTGTCAAACGCAAACATCACTTACGTAGCCATGGTCGACAGGAGGGAGACTGAAAGAGCCTCTCGTTAGACCGCCTTGGCAGTGTTCGAGCCGAGGTTCGCCAGGCTTTGAGAAAGTGGCCATACTTTGCAAGCAGCATGGACCTCAAAGCCAGCAAGCAGGGCACATAAAACTCTTGAAATCAAAGCTACTTCCCCGCAGTGTTCCAAACGGTTGTCCTTGGACCCTCTGAACCCTCGCTCCGGACCCCTAAAAACCAAGCCAGCCGCTCGGGAAAACTGTTGTTGTGCGCAGATATGAAGTCGTCGGGTCAACAATCACTCGGACAAAGTGGGCGATTTGTTGGAAGGCAGCCTTATGGGGTCTGCCAGGAGTCTGCCATGGCACTCCGCTCATTTCTGCATGCTCCTGATATGCCGATCTTTGAAGGAAAGCCCCCCACAAGCCGTTCGTTGCATGCAGAAGATCGTGGTTCTCCGGACCCAGCAAGCACTAGAGTTACGCTTCGCAAATCAGTTTCCATGGTGATCTAGTGGAATAGGAACAAGCACTAAGCACTGAGGGGGACCTTGGGAGCCTCGTTCCGGCTTGTGATGCTTCTGCCCCTAAGCCACTTGGTGTCGCACTGAAGCGCGTAGTTACACCACACATGCCGAAGTCCTTCAGCCAAATGATAGTTAATATCATGTAGTATATAGTATAATATAGTATGTATATATACATGCAAATATACTTATACATATGCATATACATATACCTATACATATACATATTCATATCAACAAGCCCCTTTATGAGGAAGCACTTGTCGTCCCAAAGAAGGCAAAGGAAGATCACAGAGACCAGCTGGGTCTCGAGCCGAATCTCCTGGGCGGCCTTCCTGGGATGCATCGAAGGCTTTGCTGGGATGTAAGGCTTCCCCTGGCTCTCCACAAGAAAAAAATCGGGACTGGGAACATCGGCAAGTTCGAAGGTGAGGTGAGCTGCCACTTGGCAAGACACGCAGCATGCACAGAGCTCTTCAGCTTCGTCGATGTAGTTGGATCGATGAAGCGAAATCTAGGGAAAGGAAGCTCCCTGTTGTGCAACCTGTTGTGCAACGGGCGGGGGACCATTGGCAGCTTGTCATGTCCATAAACACATCCTGGTGTCGGATTGCGCTCTGCCACAAGGTAGGCCGGCGGCCTCCAGCCATCCACAAACCTCAAGCGCGAGGTCAAGATACGTTTGAAGGCCTAAGGCTACTAAGTCTTACAATAAGCCTTTCCATCAATCCCCGTGTGGCACCCGCTAAAGCTGCAGAGAAGCTCAATGTCCTGGAAGGTGAGGCATTTCCTCGTCCAGCGGTGGAATGTTTCTTGCCACATTGCAACAAAAGAACTTCAGAGGACTATGGCGCCTCTCGGCGAGTCAGGGACATACTTTCGTTGCATGGGTCACGGCGCAGGACCCCTCGTGCTCTGATGATGACCGGCGTTGGGTAGGGTCGGGTAGCGTGAGTGTGTGTTTGTTGGGATCCAGCTTCCCGTGTCCACCGATGAGTTAGCACTGAAAACTGACGGGACTCCTTGGGACGGGCCAGCCTGAGGTTGAAACGACAAACGTAGTTTGAATCCACCCAGGCCTCCCCCAACGTTCACTCATAGAGCCTCGGCCAACAATGAGGCATCAATTGTAGCCGGGCTGCTTGCCCTGCCAGTCAAGCCAGCATGCAAGCTCCTGTGGCACAGGGCAACCTCTCAAACCGAACCCACGAGACACGAAGCACTCTTCCTACCACGAAACGCGACGGCCGAATAGCGCCGAGCCGCATTGCGCAAACACAGCCCGCAACCAAGCAACAAAGCAGACCGCCACATGTTCAAACGCATGTTCATCGCCAGAACGCTGCAGAACACAGGCTCCAGGTAGACAAATCTGCATGCAGTCTGCATGTCAGAACACTTTCCAGTACGGTCCATGCCTCGGTTCCTCGAAGCCTTCGAGCTCTGATCGACCACTGGTGTCACTTCTTTAGGTAGGATGCTAAATTTGACTAAACCACCTCACGCTCATGAGCCTGGTTGTGTCAAAATGAACGAGGAATCCAAGCTCTGATCTTGTCTCGAGTCGGCTCGAAACAGACACCACCTGGCAGCTCGTTATTGAAAAGAACACACACCATAAACCATTTTTGAACCAGGCTCTGCGCTATCAGCTGGACAACAGGCATGACAATTGCACACCTGTCTGGAAACGTTGGCAGGTACACAAATCTCAGCGACATCCTAGAGCGAAGCAGCATCCACCACACCCCATAAACCCCAAACCCCACACCCCAAACCCTAAACCCTAGCCTAGTACCAACAACGGAAAAGATCCTCCACAGTTCTCAGTTCCCTCACTGGTTGCATTCCCCGCAGGTCCTTGAGCTCCGCCTCGGCAAAATCCGCCCCCATCACCAGACATCTGCGGACGAAGAGGTCGTAGCCTCTGTCAGAGGCCCTTTGTATTGGTTTTTGGGTTTAGGGCTTAGGGTTAAGGGCTTAGGGTTTATCAGAGGCCCTTTGTATTGGTAGCCGCACGATCATGGTCGTTTCAGGGTTTATAGGCTTTATAGGGTGTACAGGTTTTGGGTTGCGGGTAGAGAGAGAACAGTGCTTCCTTTCCACAATGTGCTTTTTGCTGGCTACCTGGTGCACTGAATCACTGATGGTCAACACTGAGTTAAGAGGAATTCCTCCAAAAACCCTTGCGCCATCCCCTAAACCCTAACCGGGTTACGGTGCCTATACCCTGCAGAGGCCCTAAAAGCACTTCCTAACGAACGGAACCGCAATGAACCGCAGCTCTCTCACATGAGTGCACGCTGAGAAAGAGAGAGCCCGCACAGACAACGACCCAGAGACTCGAGAATGTTCCAAGAAACATGTTAGGATGACTCGGTAACTTCAAGATTATGAAAGGGGTACTGGGGACTCTGGCAAGCTCATTGCCTTTGGGTGTGGTAAGGTGCACGGGCACTCAAAACGACAGATTCTGCGTGGACTTTGTCACCTTGATCCAAACAAGCACGGCACATTTTGGGATGTTCCCCCTTAAACTAAAGTAGGGAGCTATCATCCCCATAAGGCCCAAAGCACATTCATAGAACCACGCAGGTTCTTCACCTTCCGCCTGCATGAAAGCCACAAAGACTGGAACAAGTAAGGGTTGCAATCGATTGACGCGATAGAGAAGTTTGGGGCACAGAGGCGAAAATTATGTGAGCACTCGCGCGCGGGACCTGCCAAATTGCTGACGGAACGAGTAGCAGGCCAGAGACGAGAATCCAACTCAAGAGCACGACCACAGAAAGGCGTTGGGTTCGGAGTTTGAAGAGTGAGCAGTGAACACAGCACAAGCCAAAGCAGATGAGAGCAAAAACATGCCGAACAACTCAGCATACCGCTCTGTCGTGGCATTCTCATGATCAGGAAGTACTCTGCCGCTCCACAGTTCACATAACCCATCATGGGCTGCTGAAGCACACAGGGGCCCTGACTGATCCTCTGCTTCTCGTATTTGTCAATGGCTTTCCAGAGACCATAAGCCGGCCTCTCCAGTGGCCAAGGAAGGAAGGTGGGTTTGCGGTTCACCGAGATCTCTGAGGTACCTATATGGGAAGGGCCTTCATACCCTTCAATATCTTTAATCTGGAGGTGTGGGAATGGGAAGAGCTAGATCGGTCACAATAGGTCTCAGCACGTATAGCCCAAGGCAGGATGAGGGCTAGAAGTTTCGTGTGTTCACTTTCTTGCACGCGTCGGTCTGTTGTCCTGCCGCTCCTGCCTAGCTGGTAGACCCTGGTAGGCCCTATCACGCAAGTTCAAGATACAGTTCAAGATACAAGCATAGGCAGCATGGGCAGCGGATCTTTGCTCACAGAAAGTACTTCGATGCCATGTATTACGTATGAGTTAACATTTTGGGACAAAACCTATGGATCCTGCAGTGCCAAGTGTGAAACTGTAGCAAGCACTCCCCCCATCCCGAATCCATTACACAGTGCGAGACAATGCCATGCGCCTCTGAATTCAAGCAGTGCCGTTAGCATGTGTCGGCTTTTCGGCTTAAGACGAGCCGGTGAACCACCGCTTTTTGCTTCAACCGCTGCGCTGCGTCACCGTGTCCTTTCTTCGGTGATCATGTGCAGGGAAATCAAAAGTTTTCTGAGTACTCTGGAGGGCCTTCAGAAGGGGTGCAAGCTGCAAGCAGGGCTCAAGGAGGCTAAGGGCTCAAGGAGGCTAAGGGCTACGGCCATGGGAATACACGGCGACTCCTTACCCCTCCAGAGCGCGCAGACTCACCACTCCTTTGTCTGAGGGTGGAGCGAGCAAAGAAACTACCTTTGAAACAACAGACTCTCGCAAATCTCCCTGGCCCGTCAAGGAAGCGGGAGTCGCAACGGGTCGCGATGATACCCGACTCTGCCCACGCAGTCGGGAAGCTCGTACACCAGAGCTACGCAGGCAGATTGGGATGTTCTTCAGTGTTATAAAAACATGCGATGAAGCCCCCCATCGCATCTAAAGGCGAAAATGTGCAGTTTCCGGATTGCTTGTCGTTACGATACTGGTCTGGGGCTTCAGCACGCCAAGAAGGGCGCCAAAGGCTGACATGATATATGGCTCACTGTTGGCTCACCCTCTCATGCTGGGTGTCCAAGGCGTCGGGGCACCCTGGGTGAGTCATCGACCGGCCTGAGTTTGGAACTCCCATGGTTGATGCAACATACTTCCCTCAAGGATTAATCTGAACTTCACCCCCCCCCCCCCCCCCCCCCCCCCCCCCCCCGATGACGAATCAATTCGAGCTGCATACATGTGTCCGGTATATAGCTGTTGGAATCGCTTGCCGAGGTCTCTCCTGACAGGCGTCAATGTTGTGGAGTAATTGGGGGGCGGCTTACGGAATGTTGCGATGCCGAGGATTCCAGCACGACTGGCGGGCAGGGGATGCAGGGGCAGTAGGCACACTCAGAACTGCTTGGCGTTGGGTCCACGCGATCAACAATGCAAACCTAAACCTTTCCACAAAGCGACGTGGCCCTGCCTGAGAGCAGCCACAGAGGAAAGAGAAGAGGTGGCGTGCGAGCTGCTATCCTGTGAGCATGAACTCGTCGTGGATACTTGCGATGCAGAATCATCTCGCAGGAGGCCCGCCTTAGTAGATCTCCAGAACCATCAGAGCAGAGCCAGCGACCAAAACTCAAGAAAGACTCACCAAACATCGAGGCCAATTGAAGACCTGGGCCCGTTGCGGGCCCCTGAAACCAAAGAGCAAGATGCGCAGAAAAGCTTCGATGCGAAGGACTAGGGCCGTCTTGATGAAAACCCGGCTTGACTGAAATTGGTATTGCTGATGAAAACGGCCGTCAAGCCTCACCCCCCGTATACCCGCTATACATATACATAAAAATAAATAAACAAATAAAAATATATATATATATATATATATATATATATATATATATATACATATATACATAAACACACACACACACACATGCGAGCAGCACGCCACAGGCGCATGCATATACACACACATACATACGTACATACGTACATACGTACATATACACACACATACATACGTACGTACGTACATAGATACACGCATGCGTATGCGTACATACATGTGGGTAGCACAACATTCCAGGAGACGTAATTGAATTGGGCTACACGAGTTGCACAGAGTCTAGCAACAGTTCTTTCCATGAGGCCCAGCCACGAAGCCGTACACGGGCCATGAGCCTTCTGCTAAGAAGGAGTGTATCTGCAGCAGAATTTCGGGCAACAGCCAATCATGCCTTTGAAAATGTACCTTCCACATGAACTGGTAGATCAACTCTTTCTTGCACAGTGATCTCCGCTGCTGGATGTTGCGGATGATCCAAGCGGCATGGCCCCCACTGGCTGACTTCAGACTCAGGGCATTGAATCGTCGGAAGCGAAGTTGCACCAGCGTTTTCCTGCACTCACATGCATTCTCCTGGCCTTTGGTGCCCGCAAACTGTTCCAGGATCTCGGCTGTCAGCGGCGTTTCGCGTCCATACAGATACATAGTGCGAAGGCTGACCGCGAGAAAGCCCGCAAAATGAGTCGCTGCCCTGTGTAGCTGGATGCCCTCCACCACTACGTTGTCAGTCTGACTCAACCAGGCAAGCCGTAGGCACGCAACGCAGCAGAAGCCAGTGACAAATGCTGTCAGTCGATGCGGTGCGTCCAAGGCGGGAAGGTGCAGCAAGAATGTTCCAAGGGTTTCGAAAACGAGATTCTGAATCTCATGGATTTGCCCGCAGCCGAGGACTTCGAAAACGCTGCAAAGGATGGGCGGCCAGGCACAAAATGCCAACAAGTTATTGCTGTAGGTTGGGCTCTCCAACTTCAACTGCAAGGCACCGCTGGCAGCTGGCGGAATTATGAACAAAAGGTTCACGTGCTGGAGGAGTAGCCTTAAAATTAAGGGTGCATGGTTTCCACACAACAAGGCAAAGCCGGAGGCGGCCAAGACCAGTGGGAGAATGCCCGATATCATCTCGATGCGAACCTTGTGGCGGACTGAAGTTGTGCACCACGGCTGGCATAGCAAGGGCAACCACATCATGGCCACACCCAGGAAAATTCGAGTGAAAGCACGCAACGTAAGTGTCATACAACCTAGGGAAGATCTGTGGGATACTGTCTGTGACCAGAGCGGAAACTGAACTCAGCTAGCCTCAAAAGCCCAACGCTGGAGTCAAGCTGAGCATCAACGAGCCAACAGCCTGGGGTCTCACTCTGCGGCCCACTTTAACCTGCTAATTCCCATTGCTGGCTATTACCTCTCCAAGCCACAAACCCACACCCCTTGTGCATCAGGACTTGCATCAGGACAAACCCACAGCCCTAAACCCAAAACCCCAAACCCTAAAAACCCTATCGCTGAAAACGGGCCTGTTGCCAAAACGCTTCTCCCCAAAGCTGCGAAATCTGCAAGCGGGCGTTGATCATGCCGGCTATCGTTCAGCGCCAAAAGCTTCTCTGCATTTTTGAGGAGACCACTCGATACATAGACTTCTCATGTCTAATTACAAACATGTGCACACCTATAGGTACCAACATGAGTACATTCAAGAAGGCGTTCTTACACACCACTGATTCCGACAGCAACACCCTGGACAAAGCATCACGGTTTTGGAGCACGATGAAGACATCATGGTTTGACAAGGGCCTTTAGTTTAAACGTGTGGAGGCACGCCGAGATAATGCTTCAGCATCAGATTGCAAAGCCATGCCAGTGGCTTCTGCGGCACCTCCGTGACCATGCTTTGCATGTGCAAGTATCAGCAGCACGCACGTGCGCACGTAGACACCCACGTGCTCGTCCAGAGCATGCCCTTGACAGCTGACAGTTGTTCCGTTGACATTGCTCCTGAAACTCGTCCTGATTCCTCAAAGCCCCTCATGGCTGGTTTTGGTACGCTCGTCCGGGCTATATGGAAAACTTCCCTACTCATGCTACAGTCCGACGCCTTGCCAACTGCCTCGCGCAGCTAGGGTCCAGCTCTTCAAGCGAAGCGGTTCCTTGCATTTTCTGGCACTTCTTTAGTTCTTTGCTTCTTCTTGGAATTTCGTGAAAATTCACTTGGTTGCACTTTTTGAACAAGAAGATGCGAAGAGGGAACGTAGCATCTCAGAATGCCTATGACTGCCCTCAGCGACAATCACGCAGTGAGATTAAGATAACTGTTACTGTTCGGAGTGAAGAATGCACAGCAAACTTGTCAAAAAACATACTTTGAGTTAATTTAATCCGTTGCGAGTTACGCCGCCTTTAACCTGCCCAGACGTAGCTGGACCAATGCAACCAATAGCCTGAACGTCCGGATTTCCTGAACGGCAAAACTGGACAGTGGAAAGAAACGTGAACGGGGTCTTCCCGCACTGCATTAGCCCAGTACACAGTCAGACAACCCGCATGTTGATGCCCAGCTGCCATTGCCCCCATTATCCAGCGCCTGCCAAAGACAACGGGTGTCACCTTTCCAGCCTTAGAGGTTGGAAGTTGAGTTGGCAACCCTACACCTGCATCCTGCTCAAAACAAGGTGGTAAAAAGGCTGAAGGGTGAAGGTCCATGGTCTACTTGCAAATTCATGGGGTGCTTTTGTCACTGCCTGTCCTGGCAGACACAAGTGCAAGGGATCCCCTCTGCACTTCCTGCGCATTTTCGTGGCATGGAGTGCAAATCAATGCAGCGTTGTTCAACGGATGTGCAAGGGTTCAGCAGCTAGGAGGTGCCTAGCCGCAGGCTTGCGCAGGACACAGCAAACCGAAGGTCCAGCCCCAGCATCACAAAGAACACTCACATGCAAAAGGTTGATTTTCCTCCTGCTCCGGCCCGCACGAGGCTAGGTCGTTCTGCGCAGCTTCGAGGGAGGTTGATGCGACCTTCATTGGCAGCTGGTTGACAAGGGGCTCACTTTGGCTGCGCACAAAAGTCAGAGGCATGTGCGGCATGTGTGCTTTCAACTGTACTTGTGCGATTTGTGGGGCATGAAAGGTGCAGCACAGCCCTGCATTGTCCAAGCGGCCCATTCTCGGGAAGGAGCAGTCTCTTCACGAACTGCCTCTGCTCTTCGTCATGGTATCAAAGATATCCATGACTCGGGGGTGTAGGGTTTGGGGTTCAGCGCTGACTGCTATTGTCTGCGACCTTGCTAAAAGTCGGGCCGGCCCTTGCAAGAACAAAGGTATCGCGTTCTCTGTCCTAAAGCCCCGGTGCCATTCTCACTCAGGCAATGCACCTTCTGCTCTGCATTCTGCGGCCCTGCCTGAGGAACGGAGCACCGTGCTCCTCGGGGTCATAAACCCCGCCGCCCTCGGCATCACAGAACTGCCGCCACATCGTTGCGCAGGCCTGTGCTTCTTATGTGCGCAGGGGACAAGACGCCCTCAAGTTGACTATTGCTTGGGGTGTGAAAGGTCGGCTTGCTTTGTGTACTGTGCCCAGGACCTATGGAGTTCACTAGACAAAGCAAATGCAAACCAGCCATAGGACACAGGAAAACAGGTGCAACCTTCTCAACTCAAATTTCATTGAGAGAGGGCTCGAAGTGGTCCCAAGGCCATGTGCTTGATACTGAAATCCAGTGTCGCACTTTGTTCTAGGGGCCGGCAAAGGAAACTCCAGCCTCTCTACAAAGAGCGTCGGAACATGTGTGGCACGCCTTTACAAAAATACCATTGTTGGGGTGGGGGAGGTGGGGAGGGCAGGGGGGGCACAGATCATCACTTCTCATTCGCATTCTCTAGCATCCCATGCACCGCCTGTCTTCCAAGACGCCTGGCATTGATTCCGGCATATTCCGTTTCTTTCTGGAGCGTACAATGTGGGCAAACACTATAGTGTGACGAGAAAGAAGTTGGACAATTTAACTCTTTTGCACCCCCAACCCGCCCAAGTCTCCAGACCCTGTGCGTGTGAGCCTCTCGCTTGGAAGGCGCTGTGGGCTCACTCTCATGAGCTTCCCACTTCCTCACATTCAGGGTTTTGTGAGGGTTTAAGGGTTCCGGGTTTAAGGGCTCAGCTTATGTACTGGGCATGTTTGCTCCTTAATCAGAGTCCGCACAACATCTGCTGTTGCACGCGGAAACGATGCACGATCTTTGCAGGATCCAGCTGCAGTTCAACACCCCGCCGTTGTTGCCTATTTGTTCTCTCCAAATTCGGCGAGGCAACTAGCAATCTGGAATAAATCCTGCACCCCTAGCCCGATTCTTGGCGCACCTACACCTCACAATGTCAGCTTCATCTTCAATCTCCACTTCGGAAGTTTGCAAGGCAGATGTCCTAGTTCGCCAGGGTGTCGACGATGTGGTGGCCGAGTGAGAATTCCGAGTGCTAGCCTCCTGTAGGAGGGCGTCAGGCAGAGTAAATCTGGCTTACGTGGAGCCTCTGCAAGGACATCAAACCGGTCGAGGTGCCGGGAGTTTTGGTTGGTGCTGACCCGTCCAGGTGTGCTAGAATGGTTCGAGCGTCTATAACCCTAAACCCTAAACCTAAGCTCAAAACGAAAACCTGTTTGATGTTTTGGGCTAAAGGATTAACAGGGACTGTCACTTGTCTGGGCATCACGACCTCCAGATTAATACTTTTGCACAGTTCACCTATCACCCATTCACGATTAAAGCGATCTGCACATAAGAAAGGTGTAGGGATCCCCTCCGAATCTAGCGGTTCTCTGCCGGCAATCTAGCTCTCCAACTATAGAGTATGGTTGTGTCGGCGGCGGCTGCTAGGGTAACTCAAGGTTTCGGGTTTCACGGCTAGTGGGCTGAGGAGGGAGTTTCAGGGTGAAACTATAGCTGTATTCGGTAGGAGTCAAGGTCACGTGCATTCACGTGCAAACCAGAATGCTGCACGCGATTTCTCTGTGGCCAACGTCGTTGCGTTTCAGGGTGGCCTTGTAGTCAGCGTCATGATGCGACTCTACGTTGCTTTCTGCCCATACATGGCCCGGGCGTTCAGCCCTAGCCTCAACGGCCATCACCCGTCAAACAGCTCAAAGGCGCCTGGAGGATGCGAACTTCGGTGCACCGTGGCCGCCCAGTCTGGACACCAAGCTTAGGTTCGACTTTCATGTGGTGACATGGGGGAGGGACATGGGATGCGTGCCAGTGAAGCCCTATAAACAGTTCTCAGGCCCTTCTGATACCACTCGTGTGCTTCCGAAAGCAGGGCCAGAAGCAGGCTGCAGCACAACACCCTGAGTTTCACCATGCCCTGAACCCCTGTCCGCCTGCCGAGCCGAGTCGTATCGCGCCTTGAAGGCCAGTCGCGTCCCCTCTGCCGGCAGCACGCCGTCGGGGAACAGGGACGGCAAAACCTTGAGCATGGCAAAGAGGACTGCTTTGTTGTTTAAACCCGGCGCTATGCAACTATGCGACAGCATTGTCGCTCCACGCCAGCACCATATCACATGAACAAGTTTATAATGCCCTATCAGCGACAGCTCGTAACAACTCGTCAGGAGCAGCCGGAAACGAGACCAACACACCCAGCTCATGCAGAGACCCTGGAATATGAGAAACATCTGCCAGGATTGTGTCCACAGTATTCGGCGAAGTTCAAACATCATACAGCTTACACTGCCTCTGGTTCAGCATGTTGACCGAATGGCATTCAGCCAAACCAGAAAGTGTTGACCGACTTCTGGCCCTTGAAGGAGGAGAAGAGTTTGCATCAGGACGTTTCTGCCACGAACCCCACGCGCAACTACGTTGTACAGGAGGGGTTGAGTGTCCGCGTAGTATTGGGCCACTTTGGCGGCAGCATCCTGCCACACAACACGATCTGCTGCGCACAGGCGGAGTTGGGGAGCATGCTGTCGGCACTCGAAACGCAACCTATTTCACGAGTAACGTTCAGCAGCCACACATGCCCAGTAATCCATTGATCAGGTCGACAGTGGGGAAATTTCAACACTAACGACTCGATAGCAGCAGCAGTGACATGAGAAGAATGTTGTCGCAAGGTGTAGCCCAGATAACTCCATCTACACCGCATACACTTAGACTTAGCCATGAGCTGAAAAGAGGATTGCTTGGCCTTACCCCAATCCTGTCAGGGATTGGGGGGGGATGAGGGATATGCATCTCAGGGTGTACCAGGAACAAGGATGCAGCCGCTCGGAAGACACCAGAACTGTCAGAAGTGTAAGCAGGGGATTCCTTGACTCTGGACCCAAAGCGCTCTACAGGCCAACATTACTTTTTTTTTCCGGCAAGGCAACATTGCAACCCCAATTTCCACCCCACTCCAAGAGACGAACACATCGCCATTGCCATCATCTGGTTGGATGAACCCGAACTTTCCCATATCCGTCAGCAAGTGCCCTGGAGTCAGCGGGCCAGGGCTTGCAATTGCCTGGTTTACTCAGCGCTGTCTCTGTATCTGAACGCCTGATTTAGGGTTTATAAGGGTTCCCCTCAAGTGCACTGGAGATTGGTCCGGAAGATGGGTGCCCTTGGACTTACACTCTTAAACGGGGCTTCTCAGACCCATGTCGCCCTCCATCCTCAGGCAATCATGCTGAAACGTTCATGGCACCAGCCCTGTCTACATTTCCTCCGTGAATATTAAGATCTCCTCCTCGCCTCCCTACCCCCCCTCCCCCCCAGCCGTGTTCTGCTACATCGTAGCAATGCCTCAAGCTCTTGTGACTGTGTTTCTCCAAACACGTCTTTCAAGAACCCATTGAGGTGCCTTGCTGCTCATCCAGCTGCTGCGAGGGTGGTGGATGGCTGGGCTCAGAAGGGCGCCTCCAAGACCTTCGCTATGGTCCCATGGTCACTGAACTTCACGAAGCTCTTCAGAATCGGAACGGAATCACTTCATCAATTAAAGCTCTTCAGAATCAAAATCGGAGTTCGGCTCTTAGTTGGGGGAAGTCGAAAAGTGGGACTGCGCCAGGTGTCTCGGCTGCTGGAGCCTTGCTAGCAGACAGCTTGGCCACATCCTCAGAGGCAAACTGAGACACCTCTGACATATCCCAAACCAGCTGCACAGCGGACAGCAAGAAGCTTGAAGACACAAGCTCTTGCCCAACACGGTTCACCGGCTGATAGAGAGAGAGGGAGAGCTGTGAATATACCTCCATGCATATATACGCTAACACACACATGCATCTGTGCAAGTAAGTCCTAAACCATCATACTGGGAAGCTGAACCCAACCAAGCCAAGTCAAGGATGCTTGCTGGCCCCAAAAACACTTTGAAGGTGCCTGATGGGTCCCCATCATCCTACACAGGGGCCCTCGCATCCCGGTGGGGGACCTGGCCTGAGAATCCCAGCCACGGCTCATCGGCTCGAAGTCGGCTCGTCTTCCGGTCTTGGACGATGCAGAAGGACACCGGCGTCCCTATCTCAAAGATCTCGTGGCCTTGCATGTAAGCCCTCTCTGCGATGTGTGTGGGGGTATCGCACATACAGCCTTGCTGAGTCAAGTTGCTGGTCTGCGGTTCTACCTACTCGCTTTCCTTTCGATCTGTGTGGTCACCTGCCCATGCATTCAGGATTTGTCGGGAAAGCTCCTGTACCGAGCATGTTGCAGCCCTACGTCGCTACATCATGGAGTAACCTTTGCGGTGCCTGGTGTGGGCTGTTTCTATGCCACCGTACCCTTCAAGAGCGTTCTTGTTCAGCATCTAGCATGAAGGGGAAGGAATTCGAGTTAAGGAATCTCCTTGCTTTCTGATAAGAAGCAAGAGGGTCCTGGCTGTCCTCACTCTGAGGAAGGGATCTCTTTGTTTTCAATGATGCTGAGGGAATTGCTGCTCGCTTGCGTTCATGCTGTTTCTTTTTTTCCCCCCCCCTGTTTGGTCTCCCATCCTATGCCAGGCTTGCTTCCTTCCCTGCTTGCTTCATTGATTCCTTTCCTTTCCTCCCCAGGCTTCTTGTCTTTCTTCTTCCTGCCCCCTTGACCCTCTGAAGGACCTGGCAGCTCATGTCGGAACCCCCCCGAGGCCTAACATGTGAGTCACTTGAGGATGCCAAAGCTCGTTCTCACCCTCACCGTACCTCCTCCTTCCTTCCTCCCAGCCTCACCGTACCTCTCTCTCTCTGTCTCTGTTCTTTTGCTGCACCATGTGTTTTCTTTCCTTCGTGGCGGCCCGAAGTCCGGTGACCTTTCTTTCGTTCGTTCATTGCTTGTGTGTTTTGCTTCTTGTTCTTTGTTGCTGTTCTCTCAGTCTGTCTGTCTCTCTCCCTCCCTCTCTCTGTCTCTCTCTCGCCCTGTGATCGCTCTCCCTGCCCTTTCTACTTCCGATGTCTGCATGGTCTGAGCAAGCATGAAACTCCCAACCAGCAGACATTCACCTCACTCTCCCTCGAAAGGCCGAGGGGCACCGCGACCGGCCTAAACCCTAAACCCTAAACCCTACTGAGGACACGAAACCCTTTAGTGTCCTAAACCCGGAACCCTTTTAACAACCCTCAAACCCATCGGCATGGCAGTCCTTCGCAGCTCCACGGCATCACAAACATCCGGTCGTCCTCGTGGTCCGGATGTGGGTCGCATTTGATGAAGCCGTAGTTGCCATAATTTTGCTCCTTGTGTTGAAATCAAGACTCAACTCCAGGTGCTTAGCTGCGGGAAAGATTGTTTCAATGGCCACCCACCCGATTCGAGTGTGTTGAGGAAACCGGCAAGACTCTTGTTTGGGGAGGAAAGGGGGGAGTGTCCCGAAAACTCGCCCTCTGTAGAAGCCCCACACGACTGAAACTCCTTGCGTGCTGTAAGTACCACTATTGGTGCTTTCCTCTCTGAGCAGACAGCCAACCACAAAAGTGCGACGAAAGCAACGAAAAACGGCAAGGCAAAGGTTCTCAATGAAAAACAAACTACATAAGAAACACAGATAGAGAAATACAGTAATACGTATACAACTGTATGAAAGTGCGTACAGTGGAACTCGAGCGTTTTTCAAATCGCAAGAAGGGATGGAGGAGGTGCACACTAAAGAGACGAGCCCCTTACTTTTCTTGCTGTCCGTCTGTGCAGGACAGCAAATAACAGGCACCCCCACTTGCTTCTGTGTTGCTCTGCCTGCCGCGTGCACAACAAAAACAACTTAACTACCATACGTGGGTGCCAGTTTGCACTGCACCTCGGGGATATCATTGCCCCAAGATGCCCCACCCCCCCCCCCTCTCGCTTGGCATGCCATGAGTAAGTCTGTCAATTTTTCGCTTAAGTGACTTTAAGCGGTGGCCCTGCCTCGGCGACAGGCCACCAACATTTTTTCGCTCAGTCGGTTACAAAAACAGAGTTCTCCCATGGGCGAGGGCGGGGTGGGGGGGGTGGGGGGGAGACTTTGGGATGCCAATTGCAGTCCTGATACACTCTATACCTGTTAGCTTCATACTTGGCTTCCAACAGGTCACAATCCATTTTGAAAACGACATTATACAAAGACACCAAGCAGGTATGGAAGACCAGGCTGCGATGACGCCAGTGTACAAGGAGTCAGGAGATGCGGCTGGATGCACCTGGGCACAGACATGGTTGTTGATCGTAAAATCATCTCCTTCCACAAGGGGGTTTCCGAAAATAGGGGGCCACTGATTAACATAGACCCCCAAATAAGAGGAGCTCCTTATACCAAGGACCCCAACAACGTACCCTTAACATCGTAAACCCCCCACATGTATGGACGTTGCATGTTGACACGAGCTGCTGAAGTGAAAGTCCCGACTCGATGTTCCAGAGTCTGGCGCAGCATTCTCCGAGTTCAGGCTTCGTTAGATCTACTGCAAGGCAGGCTTCGAACTTCCCTGAAAGTGCCATGCCCGAAATACGTATAGCCACAACCCCCCAACATATTTCTTCGGATTGTCCAATCGTGCGTCTCTTTGCGCTGCAGCTAGGAAGCATCCAGAGCAAAGAGGCGACCTGCGCAAGTCAACTCCGGAATTTGGGGTCTCATGGGTTTAAGGTCTTGGCCATGATGTGTTCAGGTTGAGCTGCCAAGCTGACAGCCACAGTGCCAGCACACTTTGCCTCTCTGTCTCTGGCCTTGCTAGCTGCTAGCTTGCCTCTTCAAGCACCTCAGGGACTCCTCCCCCTCCCGGCCTTCACGCCCCTGCTGCGTCACGGTGCCTTTGATCACTGCTCACTGCTGTCGGGGGGGGGGGGGGCAATCATGGGGAAGGGGCCGTCGTGGACCTTTGTGCGATTTTAAGTGGCGCGGCATGCAACTTCAACAATGTGGCAGAATCCAGGCTTTATTGTTCATGGCGTAAATGTCTGCGCAAACCCTTGGAAGTCCTTGGGGTTTCTGAGGTTTTTTGGCTTTCAAAAGCTCGGCTAGAGAAGACATCTTCACCATGGGCAGCTGAGTCTCAGGTCACGCTGGCACCCAATGGCGGCACCTGAAGTCCGAAGCCGGGGCCTGTAGCCAAGGAAGAAGCCAAAGTATGTCTTGAGGGTGGATTCTGCTGTCCCGAACCTCTATGTATAAAATATATACTAGAACCATATAAATCATATATTGAGGCTCAAACCCTCTAATGGCCCTTAATGAGGTTTGTTGTGGCCCATCATGTGCTACACCACGGGAATGTCAAAGCTGGGGCACATTGCGAAGGGATCACCAGTATCCGATCGTCGCAATCTTCAGAGCGGATGAAGCCGTAGTTTGAGTTCCTGAAACAGCACGAGTGCTATAATCTATGTTGAAAGGGTAAGAGGACATGCTTGAAGATAACATGGAGATGTAACGCTAAAGCATGTAACGACTAACGAACAAGTGCAAGACGCATCAAGGCATGTAGGGCTCGGATGTGGGGTTGTATGACAGGCGCCAGATGCGAGAAGGGCTACTTGGGGCCAGGGTGGAACTTCTGTTCGCAGACCTTTATCCCAATCAGCCTCTTGATCACTTCCCCGATGACGCCAAAGTCCTTATCATTTCTCCTTGGCTGGCATTGGTGAGGTCAGGTTGGCCAGTGCGCCCGCCAAGAACATGCAAGAAAGGCAAACTGTCCGTTGAGATGAGCTGATCGCAGCTGGGCCTTTTCAACCAAAAACAGGTTGAAGGCTGGAGCCGACCCCACAGTGAATACATGAAACGTCTATGTACATGACCCATGGCTTTCAAGCCAACTCCAACTGTTGAGAGTGAAGGCACGCTATACCAGCCACACATCTACAACTTCCCGAGTGCTAAACATCGCCGACTTCCCATCTCCGTGCCCAGAGACTTCTGAAAGCTTGGCGCCTTGTGCCGGGCTGGAGATGAGCCTGGCATGCATGCGGGGAATGGAGGGGAGCCAAGGGTCAGGGTGCACGGCAGGCAAGGCTCCAAGGGGCACTTTGCTAGGGCAACCCTATATCTGCTTTTAATGCTGGGCTCGTAAAGGGATCACAGCAAAGAAGAGCCCTCTTTAGGCGACTAGCCAAGAGGATCTCTCGGAGCTCATTCTTCTCTCAGTTCTCTAGACTCTAGACCCTGTGCCATCCCAAGGGCTCAGCAAACTTAATAATGGCCACAGATAATAACATGATAAGTATTTTGCGCTATCATGACGTGATAACAAAATAGATGATAATGTAACCAGGGCTTTTGTAACGGAAGTTCAAGATGCACCTGGGTTCGCAGCACAAGCACTGGGCCTGGCTCTGTGCACCTTTCTAGGACTCAAAATTAAGGGTTGAGGGTTTTAATGGTGTTTTTTTTGGTTTTTTTTTGCCACCTGCCCCGGCTCAACTAATCATAAATCAGGACCCTGAAGACACCTTTACCAGAGGAGTTAGCCAGTTTGCACACCAGTTTCGCTGACATGTCACCTCAGATACACTCTTCGTACTCTGCACATCCGTACTCGAAATACATTACCACTAGGCCAACAAGGCAAAATTGACATTTACAACCCATCAACCCATCCAAAACTTAGAGTTTTTTTGTCACCCGACTAGCCGGTTTAGAGTTAAAGGTTTAGGGTTTTAGCACCTTGGCCCTCGATCATCACGTCCTCCGCCCGTGGCTTCCCGTTCTTTTTATCGGTGCAGACAGTAAACTGAAGCCTGCGGATGGGCAGTCGGGGAGATGATAGGGGATGTGCCCACAACTTGGCTTTCATCCTGGTTACGTCGACTTAAGCATAAAGACAAGCTATCGGATCTAAATAAGGACATACATAAATAAACAAATACAAAGATAAATAATACATAATTAAAGAATATATATATAATATACATATGTATGGAATACGATGCATTATGCCTACCCTCACCAACACGACTTGGAATGCACGCGCAGTTCGCTGGGACATCTAATCACTTGAGGTGCCTGGTCCCCACCGCGGGCAGTTCACCAAAGGGGCAGGACAGCGGCAGCACAAAGATTGAATCGCCAGTCTTGTCCTGGTGGGCTGCAGAGATGCCAGGACGTTGGAAGCTGGTCTCTCTACACATGCCTCCGCTAAGCATCCTGCGCGAATCTAGGTGCACGTCCCTACTTTTTGTGTGTTCGAGTATTCTGTAGTCGTCTTGTCTCCCCCTCTGCTACCCTATGCCCTATGGCCCTATGACGCGGCCTCGCGAATGAAGCCGAACTGCGTGCAGTCTCTGGCCAGGGCTCCCTGGGCGCAGTTTCTGTGCTGTTTCGCCAGCAATCCTTGCTGATGGCCGTAATATTCCTTAAAGCACCCTGCCTCCCGCAGCAGAGCCCTTGTGCAGCCTGGATGCCGTGAGTTTCACGGCCGCTTCTGCATCTGCGTGTGCGCGGGAGTTCCTCTGAAGTGGATGAGCTCAAGTAGCCGCAACACAAAAGACAAGAGGGCAAGGGCCGGTGAATTCGGCACACGGCCAGGAAGGTGCCGACAAGTTTGCAAGATGTGCTATTCACGACATGCTTTGGCGTTACGCGAGTTTCAACAAAAGCAGAAAAGCTCGTCACAATGGTTGCTGTCAGGTGCGATTTTGACCTCAGACCCGCTGACATGTTATCCATCCTCGCCACTGGAATCCGTGCATCCAATAGAAGTCCTACACCTGCTTAGTCGTTCCGCACCTCTTTAGAAGAGATCTTGGTAGAGCTTGTCGGATCTTTACAAGCCAGCCCTCAAGCCTCTTGAGCCCACACCTTGTGAGGCCTGGGAGCCCCGATCAGTAAAGCCCAATTCACAAGAGAGGGGTGGGGGGGGGGGGGTGGGCAGGGCGATGGCTCGCTTACACATGATCCGCACCTCAAGAAGTGTTCCGTTTAGGACGGAACGTAAGCCGCCCCCTCGGCAAAACCAGTCACGCGTTTGCTGCACATGCTGGTTCACACGTGTGGTGTGCGACAGTTCAGTTTGTTTTTTGAGGTGTGTTGGCGCTGTGCTTGATATCAGATGCGGTAGCAAGCCGGGTTTAAGTTCCGCCGGTTGGAAAGAATTCAAGGCTCTAAGGGCATCTGAGCCCCTGGCGCTTCTTGCCACTCGGACCAGCCATGGTCGTCCTCGCGCAATTCCGCAAAGAGAGACCCCAAAATTCCAAAAAC